GTGCCTGTCACTGACATCACCCCCCCCCTTATCTGTCTATCCTTTCATCCATTTCCTCCCCAGCAGCAGTCAAAGGCATCTCTGTTCAGCTGAGTCCTCCAGATGGGGCTCTCTCGGCTGACTCATGCTCAGTGCGGACATCGTGATCCTGACACAAACTCATCGCCTCCCCCCCCGACGTGAAATACGGAGCCGTCATATTATCATCACATGTGAAACGAGCTGAGAAGGTCACACAGCCTGAATCTTTTTCCTCCTCCGTCCGCCCGCCCGCCCGGCCGCCCGTCTTTAACGTCACAAAAAATCCTCCTCCCGTCTCGGCTTGTGTTCGGCTGAGTGACCTCTGAACACACTGACACACAACCTGCGGGGGACAGGTGAGCGGATATGTGCAGGAAATGATACCAAAACATGATCCTCGCTGTGCTCCATCCAGGAGGGTCGCTGACCTGCAACCTGAGCACAGGTGAGGGTGGAAAAGCATGAAGTCACCGCGAAGACCTCTGTCAGTAGGTGAGGGGTCAGGTACTGGACTTTAGGTCCTACTGTGAGCATCGTTTTCTGAAACCTAATATTTATACTCCTGACAAGTTTCACATCAAGATATTAAGACATTTCCCCTTTTGCCTTGCAGACAGTGTGATTAAAAAAGAATCCATGAGGCCTAAAAGGTAAAAAATTAATAATTAATTAATAAAATAAGGGCTTCTAGTTGGCAAGGATCTTGGAATTGGATAAACATCACGATAAAGGAACAACGGTTCAATGTAACGATATTATATCTAACATATTGAATCCTCTATGTCTATTTTTTATGACTTTACTGGAGAGACAGGACAGAGGACGGAGTCGGAGAGCTGGAAGACAGAGAGAGTGGGGGGCGAGCAGCCGGAAAGCAGCGACAGGTCGGGTTGGAAGCCGCACTGCCCCCTCTGAGTACATGAGCCTATGTACATGGGGCGTGCAAACTAACCACAAGCGTCACAACCTTTCTGCCTCTTGATGTCTGTTTGTCCCTTGTAATATCTATCTGTCTCACATCTCTAAAGGTTGATAAAGTTGCAGCTCTTTACTACTTTCTGCTACAACATGATTTAAATCGACACAATCTCCTTTATTCTAATGAGCCACAGTATCCTAAAAGTACAAAAACTGCTTGAAAGTTGTGAAATATGCTGTTATAACGCAAACTTTATTATTTCGTACAGAACGGGGCAGACAAAGAGGCGTTGCTCGTTAAGACATGGAGCCATGAAATGACGGTGAAGATGAAGAAGCAGGGACTCTGACCTGAACTCATTTCCTCTCTTTGCCTGCTTCCTTTGACATTTTCTTGACCTCAGGTGAATAGTTCAGAGCCGGAGCGATATGGGATTTCTGGAGTCGATACCGATATCGATGTTGGGGAGGAAAAGAAAATCAGATACAGCTATATCGGCCGATATCTTTCTACAATCCACTGTGTGTTTGATTGTTAGAGATAGAGATACACATTTATCACGTTGATCTCTCAGATGCAGTTATCAAACACTTGTGGTAAAGATTTATAATGAAGACAAGATGGTCACTCAACTGGAAGGTAACGTGTATCACCACTTGACACTCTGGAGAGTGATGATGCTTGTTGTAATCCATATAGCGCCCTCTGCTGGAGACAGAGAACTGCTAGTGTAATACAATGGTACTCACCAGTCAAACTCTTTTTGACTGGTGAATAAATCTAGTGATAGCGGAGCATATCGTAGATAAAATTTGCTGATACCGATAGTGGCTGGATGTGCCGATGTTATCGTTCGGCCAATTTATTGGTCGAGCTCTGTGGCTGAATTTATCGAGCATCTTTGCGAGCCACTAAAGAACTTAATGTCACATTTATTCGTTTATACATACACATGGCTGTTCCCCATACTGAGGGGTCGAGGCGGTCATCATGCAAAGTGTCTGTAAACATGATCTGATCACACACACACAGACACATACACACATCAGCCTGGCTCTCCCCTCAGGAGCACTTTGGTGTTTAGTTTCTCGCCCCGGGGAAACTCTACTGTGCAAAACACTTTCTTTATGATTAGTCAACAACCCAACCCTTCTCCTAACCACATCCTCCTCTCATGTGTGCAGAAACAAAGCGTTATGAACTTCTTTTTTTGCAACACACCTCCACTGCATCTCTCTCTCTCTCTCTCTCTCATTAGGTTTATTGGCTAAATTTACAAACTTTCAGCTGCTTGCAATGAACAAATCAAAAAAGCACAATTTACATAGCTCAACACAACTAATAATATCAGTGGTTTCTCTAAGTTCAACACAAAATGCCACTTTTAATGCCTGCTGCAGTCTCAAAATTATTCAATCCCTTTATGACAAGCATCTTTAGTATTTCGTAGAGCACCCTTCTGCTGTTATGACCTGCTGCAAACGTGATGCGTAGCCAGACACCAGCCTTCGGCAGCGTTCCTGAGGAATCTTAGCCCATTCCTCATGGGCGATTTTGCTCCAGTTCTCTAATATTCTTGGGTCTGCGTGCTGCAACTGCCTTCTTCAAGTCCCACCAGAGATTTTCAATGGGGTTCAAGTCAGGCGACTGCGATGGCCACTCCAGAATCTTCCAGGACTTCTTCTGAAACCAAGCCTTGGTGGACTTTGAGGTATGCTTGGGATCATTGTCCTGTTGGAAGGTCCAACGACGACCAAGTTTCAACTTCCTCACTGATGGCATGACGTTTTCTCCTAGAACTTCCTGATATTTTATTAAATCCATCTTTCCCTCTACACGCTGAAGGTTGCCAGTGCCAGAGGAAGCAAAGCAGCCCCAGAGCCTGCTGCCACCATGTCTTGCTGCAGGTCTTTTGCAGTCACTCGAGGGTTTTTGATCACTTGCCTTCTCAGGAATCTGGTGGCAGCCATTGATAGCTTCCTCTTTCTGCCACGTCCAGGTAGTGTAGCCACAGTTCCTTTAGCTTTAAACTTGCAAACTATGCTTCCAACTGTGTCTCTAGGAACATTCAGTGCCTTTGCTATCTTTTTGTATCCTTTTCCTTGTTTGTGCCAGACAATGATTTCTTCTCTTATCTTTTTGGACAATTCTCTTGATTTAGCCATGTTTCTCACATGCAACCAATTGTCACTGCCAACAAACTCCCTGTCAGACCAGGTATTTGATGTGTTTCAAGCACACCTGATGGAACTAATGGAGCCCTTGATTGGTTGCATCAGGTGTGCTTGAAACAACACTCAATTTGTAAATGTGTGCTTTTATGAGGGATTCTATTCAGGTGGTTGGATAATTTTGACACTGCAGTATTCTTTAAAAAGTGGCACTTTGTGTTGAATATGGAGAAACCAATAATAATAATAATTGTCTAAAGCTCTTAAAATTGTCGTTGTTTGGTTTGTTCATTGCAAAGAGCCGAAAGTTTGTAAATTTTGCCAATAAACCTAATTTGCAATGGGGATTGAATAATTTTGATTGCAACTTTATATGACTCAAAATGTCATCACGATAAAAATGTTCATAACAGTCGATATCGAGAATTATCACAATAATTGTCACATCCTTCTTCCAAAGTTAAAGGCTGGCTTTTGCTCCTCAGTTAAAGTTGAAGAAACCACATGGTTCAGTGTGCTTTAATGTCACAACAGAAGCTCAGTGCACGCTTCTGGAAAACTATTTATGGTTATCGTTTCATCGCCCGGGCCTAGCTGCAGCGAACCTTTAACCACAACGCTGCGGGTGAAGTTCAAAGCTCCACCTGCTGCAGCTCCAGCAGTAAATACTGCTCTCATTTTACAGTCATCAATATACCAGTCAGGACAACAACAGGTGCTTTCATTTTATACAAAAGTGGAGACATCCTGACGGTAAATGAGAAGATTCACCGCACACAAGAGGGCTGAATAACTTATTGCTTTTATTGAAGTACATACTGAGACAACGCGTTTCGCCTACATGGCTTCATCAGGTTTCGTTTTGTTTCAACCTGATGAACACGTGCAGTCAAGACACATAACTTTCTTACAGATGTTTTAAAGTCGTCAGCAGACACACATTCACACACTTTATTTACAACATTTTGCAGAGAACATTTGTAACTTTCTGTTGTTTTCGCGACGTCAATATTTCAAGACAACAATGTTAGTTTTCTTGTTACATTCTCGAGGTCTTTAAGACTCGTCATCATGGGAAAAACCAGCACTGAGATCCTGAGTTAATAAGCTATGAGTCAGTATTGAGAAAACAAAACAAAATGACTCACGGGATCATGGGGAAAACGGCGGGAAAGAACATGTATGGATGAATGTCCTCAAAGGGCTTCCATACATATGTAATGAATGAGTAAATAAGAGCAGATCTGATGAAATTCCTCTACTGTGTACAGGGTGAGTGGTGTATTTGTCTGCAGGAGAATCACTGTCATGGTCACATGAACGCATTTTCCCTACAGAGACTTTGATGGTATCCATGCTAAATGTGATAAAGAGCTGAAAAAGAGCAGAAAAATAAGGAGCTCTGAATGTGAAGCCTCCATACAGCAACAGCAGGGTCAAGTGTAAAAGTCATAGTCAGAGAGTCAAAACTTCTCTTGTTCACCCTGCACAGTTATCCCATCATCTGAGAATGTGGTATGTCTACTTCAGTCAAAGGAGAGAAAAGCGGTGATGAAGGAATTCGAAAATTACGCACGTGACGCGCCTGAAAGGTCTGCAGACGCGTGCCACATGACGCGCTGCTGCCACCCGCGCGTCAAACAAGAGGAGTTGGCCTTGGAGGATCCAGGTCAGGTGTGGAGAGCCCAAATAATCACCAGAAATAAAAAGCCTGCTCACTGTTTTCTACTGAAGCGTCACTTTTTCGATGATTTTCTTTCAGAGATGTGTGACTTGTTGCAACATTTCGCACGAAACCATAAATATCAGTGGAGAGTCTGGTAGTCCAAACCAGTGTTTGTCCATTTGGCACAACATTTCAGCAGTGTGTTATGATCAGGTTTCCTTACCTTGATGATGCTGCTCCGGCGAGGTGCTGCCTTCACCGACTCCAGCAGGATGGTGTCGGTGTCCTGGCCGCCACCGGGGAGTATGACTCCGCTCCGCCGACCTCGGGACGCCCTCGGCGGAATGCAGTCCGGCGCTGCGTCGCTGTCTCCATATCCATCGCGCTCAGACATCGTGAACAACAAGGAGAGAAAAGACACGTGGAGAGGAAAAATAATCAACTCGAGAGGGTGTGACTTGAATGAAGTTTGACTCTGCTGTGTGTTGGTTCCATTTAAAGCAGGAGAAACGGGTTCTCGGTTTCCTGGAGCATCAGCAGCTCTGACAAACGGACTGGAGGAAACTAATCACCCCAATTTGGGTAATGAAGAACAGATTCCCAAAGCGCATCGAGCCGTACTGACTTCAGGCTGGGAGTCTAATCTGAGACTCACAGCTCTTCCCCGCTTCACTGAACGTCTCTGTGCCGAAATCAAAGCTCCGCACGCAGGTATACAGCTGGATGAAACCCGGACTCGTGCGCTCCCCGGATGCGCGCAACAAGTCTTCACCGTTCCCACACTGTGCTGCGAGTCCTCAAGGCGGCTCCCGGTTCAGTTTGTGCACCCAAAACGACAAAACCCTCTGTGTGTGGCGAGAAGCAACGAAAGCGAGGTGGTTAAGGTGCAAGAAAAAGAGCTCTATAAGCAATCCAGCGTTGTGAAGAGGCAACCCGAAACCCTGCTGCTACTCCTCCTCTCCCAAAAACATCGATGTCAAAGTACAGACAGGAGCGAACTTGCGCTGCGTTTGGCGTGAAAGGAAATGAAGATCCGAACATGTGTCTTCACGGAGCGCATTGCTCCGACTGAAAGAACACTCCGCGGTCTTTCTGGCTGTACTCGGAGCAACAAACAGGCGACTTTTAACGAGAATAGGGAACACAATTGACAGTCGCACCGCCTCTAACCCGCCACCCCTCCCTCAGTCCCTCCGGCCGGCTCCTCCCACACGCTGCTCCGGAATCATGAGCGACGCGCGGGGAGGCCAATGCGCGTGGCCGCTGGCAGATTTGGAGGAAATCAGAGACGCTGATAGGAGGAGAGACAAGTCCCAGGAGCTGAGGGAGTCTTCAAATGGCTGGAGAAGCGCATGGAGCAGGAACTGGCAGCACAAGGTGGGTGTGTAATCCTTTATGAGGTAAATGTGCATCACTTCATTTCATTCTCAAATGTGAGTCAGAGCTGCTTTGTTGTTTCTTTCATAATGTACTCAAAATGAGACACACTGGGCTCTATAGTTAGTATATAAGCACATGACTGTTTTGTTAATAAGTTAAGAAAGTGTTCAAGCTAAATTGCCATAAAACAAAATGGATGTTTCAAGCTTCTCAGATTTTCAGATTTGATGTTTTATGTTCATCGTAGTTTTAAAGTCCTCAAAAATGTTCATGTGTTGACTTTTTGGTTAGGCGAGAAAATGTCATTTCTTTCCTGCAAATGATACCTCTGAAAGACTAAACCATTATCTGTATTTAAGTCGATTAGAAAAGTCCCTAAAAAGAGTCTAACGAAAGTGATAGAAGTGATTTTAAAAAACTGCCTTACACAGTGTACCTTGATAGAAGAATGGACGTACCTCTAAACATACAGCGTGTTGACATCCGGTCTGTGAAAAAGAAACCTTGAGAAAAAACATTCACTGTTTCACATTAGGAAGTTTTTCTGTTTAAAATCTAATCTTTAGAATATAACACCGCTATACAAAGACAGAACAGGAGACACTAACAATTGTAGAAAAGGCTCCTTTGCCTGACGCAGAAACTGAAGAGGCTTATTTCTCCATGATGAAAAGGTTCAAGCTCTAAATGGGGGGCGCCAGTTTAGCTCAGTCCACGACGCAGAGGACCCAAGTTTGACTTGGACCCTCAGCCTCTCTGAATGGAGCTGACCCTCAAAAATCAAGAAAGCCACCAAGAGAAGTAGACAGATTAGATGGTTTAAAAACAAAATACTTGAGCAAATTCCAGTCCTGGTAAAAATGCTAATATATCAATACTTATCAAAACAATGAACTCGTTAGAGCCCGACCGATTAATCGGCCTGTGGATAATACCGGCCGATTTTATCATATCCAGTGACTATCGGTATCGGCTATTTCATCTCCGATATGCACCGATCTTACTTGATTTATTCACCAGTCACCAATAGCATTTCCTTTGAGTTTCATTGTATTACACTAGCAATTCTCTTTCACCAGCAGAGGGCGCTATATGGATTACAACAATCATCACTCTCCAGAGTGTCGAGCGGTGTTTGAAGACTGTTTTGAGTGATCAACAAATAAATGTGCATATCTACATCTATCTTTGTCTACAGATCGAAGATAGATCTAAGAAAGATATCGGACGATATATCAGTATCATTTTTTATAAATATATATCGGCCCCAAAAATCACATATTGGTCGGTACCTCGTTAATTAATAAACAAAACTCCGATCCAGCAGCTTCAAAAAGATGAAAACATGTTCCGTCAGTGTGCATCAGCATAAAAGCCAAAGTGGCTTTAATTTGAAAATCATCCTCTACATTTGAGGTTCAGTTCATCTGTACGTCAGTGAATTTAAACTACCGGAGATTCATAATTTTTAACAAACAAACAAAATGTTATGTGTGCACTCGGGTTGCTTTTGAGAGTATAAATATCAGTGCTGTTTTGAAAAACACAGATGATGTCATCTCTGTCCGTCTTCATATCCTCTCGTTCTGAGTAAATAAAGATGTCTGGGGTGCACAGCTGACCTCTGACCTCTCCTTATTGTCCAGTGTGGTTGGGTTCAAAGTGACAGAGCGACCTGCGGAGATTGGTGGGTTCTGTAATAAAAATGTGATACATTATTCATCGCTGTGGTCAAATTGGCTTTTCTCTCTCAGGCCCTCTGCCAGCGGGGTCAGAGGTCACGGTCAGAGAGACAGCAGGACCCGGAGAAGGCATGCAGGGATTTAGTGTGTTGCTCAAGGCCACATCAGCCCAGATGATTTGATAATGTACTGCCAACACAACATGCTCACAAAGACAGTGCTGACAAACCAAAGTTTAGAAGGTGTAATGTTTACTGTCATCGCCATCTTTGTTTGGCGTGCTAACTCCACACGCTTGAAGTCAAGGCAGGGTTGGTCATTTCCTCCAGATCCACTTTTTAGGATTCTGGTTGAAATTGTCTTTAGGTCCTGACAGAAATTAATAACTCATGTTCTCTGAAAAAGGAACAAAGAAAATCCATCATCTGTATCAGTTGTAAGCCTGTAAAAACATTGACCAATGTCTGCCACGAGGTACCAATCTGATGAACCAATCAGGCACCTCCCTGTCTCCCTGCTCGCTCTCTACCTCTTGCGTGCTCTAGCCCACACTCAAAGCACGTCACTGATGACTTTAGGAGTTTATACTGTGACTTTACTTCCCGCTGAATGAGACATGAAACGGCATAGTTTCTACACAATGCAGGAGATGAGCTGAGGTCCACTTCTGGAGAGACGGCGCTCATTCATGTAAGTGAGGGGGCGTGGCTTATGAGGGAGCACAGAGGGGAGGGGGTGTGCAGACGGAGCACTGAGGGAATACTACTTTCAAAATCATGCTAGTTTTAGAAAATGACCAACCCTGCCTTTAACACGTGTTCAGCATGATGGGACTAGGTGATGAGGTCGAGCAGGAGTTCATGTTTGGAAACGCTCCTCTAATACACCGTTTTATGAAACATTTTAAATTGTGAAATCAAGTCTTACCAAAAATGTTTGAAATAATAAACGTTTGATCCCGTGAGGCTCAGACGAAGGTGCGTGTGTCTTAAATCCCGGATGAACTTTGACCTCGAGTGGAAAGACTTTGAAGGTAGTCAAGACTTAAACTCTCTGAATCCCCTGAATTATTTTCAGAAGGTGTTCCTGTCTGAGCTGTGTGTGTGTGTGTGTGTGTGTGTGTGTGTGTGTGTGTGTGTGTGTGTGTGTGTGTGTGTGTGTGTGTGTGTGTGTGTGTGTGTGTGTGTGTGTGTGTGTGTGACTCACACAGCTGTGGAATGTGGTTAGATGGTGAGGTCCATTAGTACACGGAGCTCAGCAGTAACACCTCTGCGTCAGTATGTGTGAGCTCAGTGTTCATTGGCAGAGAGAGAGAGAGCGTTCGGCGTGGTTGTATTTCCTCACAACGGCCGAAAAGACGAGAATAGAAGGTGAAGACTCTGCGTCATAAAAAACTATGATTTGATATTTATTGAATTGCACACAGAAACTGTACAGGAAGTGCTTTAATTCCAGGATATCTTTATTATTCTGTAGGATTCATCTAGCTCTTCTACTTTCTGTCAAATATTCTTAAACCAAACTTGCTGACACGCCGACACGGTTAAAAACATTTAGCTAATCTTTACAAACCTGGATGTAGAGGCTAAAGGCCCTGACACACAGAGCAAACGGCAAAGAACTAGTGGTGACTAGCGTCGCCTCATGTTGTTGTCTTGGCCGGAAAAAAGTTGCACTTGAACACACCACAAAGACTACAGCCGACGGCCAACCAACATATATGTTCTGTGCATGCGTGAGAGGCGGTAGTCTGTAATCGTCATCCCAAAAAGGGAAACCGGAAGAGGACGAGGAAGAACGCGGCTCAATAAACCGTTGTTGTGATACGAGAAGACAATTTTCTCTCCGCTGTCGCTCATCACTCGTTATATAGGGAATAATAATCAAGAATAATGTCTGAAAAGTGTTGAAATTTCCGAGAAGCGTGCTGAGCAACTGACCAATAACAACAGAGCGGATCGGCAGACCAATCAGAGCAGACTTGGCCCACGTGGGGTCTAACAGTGTGGGCTCAACAGAGTGTAGCTGACGCACTCAGAGCGGAGCAAGGAGGAGCAGTACATGAAAACAGACACTTTTTTCAGACTTTAGCTATTGTGAACGTACAAAAGTAGGTACATAGATTAAATATACGAACCCCATAAAGGGCATAATATGGGCTCTTTAAACAGAATCACAATGTGAACTAAAGAGTGGAGAAGAACACACTGGAGAACAGGAAACATAATGCAGCAGGTTCATTAGAGCACGGAGATGGTAGAGGTGGCGTGCAGACAGTCTATGGTCGTGCAGCGATCACAGGGAATAAACGTCACCACCCCCTCCCACTCGCTCCAGGTGAATTCTCCTGATTATATCCTGCTGCGTTCTCACATCAGCTCACTCTGGTGAAAAATTTGGCTGTTTTGCGTTCACACATGCAGCTCCTCCTGGAAATATCCAGAGTTTTTCCATCAGATTTCTGCAAATGTGAAAGCTCTATTTGTCTGCCAAAATATGGCAGACACTATTTTCTTCAGTGCTGAATTTGAAGTTCCTCTACAGACACTTCAGAGTCCAACACTGTTTGCAGGTCATATTTACACAGTGAAAAAAAGAGGATGTTTGCGTTCACACATGCAGCTCCCCATACGCAGAGTGCACGCCCTCTTGGTCAGTTATTTGCGGCAAATGTATGCAAACTATTGAACTTAAAATGAGAATGATGTGACCTAGCAGCTGAACAGGTTTATAGGTCAGACTAGTTCTTCAATCCCTTCTCTTAGAAAATGTTTCTTAAAGCCTTCTACTTTTGATTGCTCTTCATGGTCATCATGGTGTATTTCTGCAGCCTGACCAGGTTTCTTTCAGGACACTAGTCGAGTTGAAGTAACCTCCATTCAATCTGGAGATACGTTTACTGTTTTCATTCAGGGCTCATCGTTGACATTTAAATGCCAGTTCACCTGGCCGTGCTGCAGAATGACTAAAGTTGTATTTGTGAGGTGACAGTTGGATTAAAATAAACACAGACAAACGTGATGAATGCTTTTATCTTTTTGACCCAAGGCTTGAAAAATCAGCGAAGAGTGAAGGAG